TTATTTAGTGTTCTGTCTGACGATAGGTCCATATGAACAGGATCCTTCCCTCCTTTTCTCGGCCTGGGACCTGTTCATATACGTTCTTGGCAGATATCCAGAAGTGGTTTGCCATTGCCTTCTTTTGTGTGTGAATGGAGTAATTGTTGGGATGCCATGGAGGAAAACTCCGTGTTGCCTAGACCACGGCCTTGCCCAACACAAGTTATAAATTCGGGCACCGCCGGGAATCGAACCCGAGACCCCAGGATTACAAGGCCAGCGTTCTAACCGCTAGACCACCGTGGCTCTTTAATATATAAGATAGATTTATTGTACACGCAGTTTATTTTCTTGATTAGGGCTCTGATGATTTTTACAAATCACGGTCTTTACTGTGGATATCCATACTTAATACCGGTTACTACTGTTCTATTTAGGCCGCCTGAATATGCATATAGTACGCAGTCACCCACTTGCTGTTGAATTGTAAACTTCGCTGCAGCAGAAAGAAATGGCAACTGAGGGACAAACGTGAATCATGTGACACCCTCCTACTTAATACCTACCCCAAGAACTACATAAAACTGACCGCCAGTAAAATAGTGTTTGTTCTTGGTGCTGTAAGCGTTCCTTCTTAACTGGCCGTCTCGTACATTCCTGAAACAATTGAATCATTATATCCTGGGTTGAAATATCTGTAGATTTTGTGAAGTCTAGGTAGCTTGTATAAAGAACATTTATTTCAAAACTTAGGTGGGTAAATTGATTCATTTTTAACAGTGTAGTCTTAATTTGGACCTTGTAACTAAAAAATTAAAATTCTATTCTTCTCGTCTGCTGCATTTTGTCGCTGTGTAATTTCTGTTTAAATTCACCCATCCCTTGAAAATAGCTATGATTTAAATTCATGTTTGAGAGGTTGGTATTTTAAATTTTGTATTAATTCCAGTGAGTTTTAGTTGTTTTATGTCACTGATAGCATGAAAAATGATGGTCTAATGTAAATCGAATATTTCGATAAAGAACATCATTTAATATTTTAAATATTTTAAAATGTTAATTATTGTAATATTTTAATATTTAATAAGAATTATTGTGATTAGATGGACAAGATTTAATATATACTTATATCACAATATGACGCAACTTTACCATCACTGATAGTTGTTGAAAAGTGCTTTTAATTAACTCTGTTTTTTTGCCAGGTCGTTGAGTGTAACACAGTCCAACCAGCCCATGCGTTGTGATAAACTACAGTCCACTGAAGTGAAGGATCTACTTCTGTGTTTTCTGTTTGTCGTCAAATACCTAGGTGACGACTGCCTGATTGCCTGGTGGCATCGATGTACTGAAATGGAAGTGATGAATTTCTTCAAGGGCTTGGAGTAAGTGTTAAATAACGGAAGCAGTTCAGTTGACTTAAAACCTTTAACCCACTGAATGAATCGTGTTTGCGCTGCATCAGCCTTTTACTGCAAAGCTTCCAGATAAGCGTGTTGTTGGCTTGTTTTTTAGCACCCTGATTTCATATACTAAATATGTTTCTCAGTACAAAATACTGAATTATTTTACCATTTTTCCTCATATTTTAAAGTTGTGTAAAGTTTTCTTACTTGTTATTTGCGAGAACTCTTATAAAGAAAAGATATGTGAATAGATTATTCTTCTCAGAAGGAACACAAAATATAAACACTAACAGGATATCAAATTAATTATCATAATACACTATCTGTGGACCCTTGCCTTGATAAGTGTTTTATCCATCGCTAACTTCATCGTTTGCTTTTTAAATTAAACATACATTAAAATAATGTTCAACTCAAGTGCATTCTTTAGATCAGAATGTATGGTTCTTGCAAGGAGCGAGGGTAGCTCAGTCAGAAGACCTGGGTTCAATCCCTGACAGGGGCAGAGGGTTTTTCCTCTAGTCTTTGCATCCAGACTGGCTCTGGGGCGTGATGCTGACCAGTCACGTCTATGTAGTGCCGAGGTTAAGAATGAGTAGGAGTTGTACCTCCTCTCCCCCCAAATGCCTACATGGCATATAGCAGGATAGCTTTCTATATAGCTCTTGCAAGCATTCTTTTATAATGATGATAAATTTCTTTTAGAATGTGTCTTCACCAATTCAAGTACACTGGTAAGCGCCAGATAGCAGCAAAAACAGGCGGTAAACTTATCACGACCAAGGCCATGACGTTGCCGGCACGAATGCAGCCTCCAGATTTCTCTGGAGACAGCCCTGTGCTTCCAGCCCACAGTGGGAGCAGCAGCGTAGGCCGGGATGGCATTCAGCAAATTGGTATGTCCACTTTAGCGCAAACAAAGAATTATTTGTTAAGGAACTAACTTTCCACTTAAGTATAATATTGTTTTTGATATGTGTTTAAATGTCTAAGGATGTGGTATATTATGACAAATTCTTTCATTTGGACCCACATCCTGAGCATGTTGAACTGTATTTAAAAGGCGCACATGTCAAATATTTTTGATGGTTATCCTCGTTGACTTCTGCGTGTCCCCTAAGGTGCATGTGCATTCGTATACTTCATTTAAAAAATGGTTCATTTGGTATCAGGCTGTGTCATTATACATGGAAGTGGCAAAGGATTAAACGAGTAACTGGTGATCATTTTCATATTCCGGTTACTGATGTCGTGGACGTAATAGTGCTATTAATATTCCGTCCTTTTCGCCTTGATATTTAACTTGAACAGTGATGCTTCTCATCTTCAATGTTACAAGCAATGTTTCCTGTAATATATATGTACTGTTACATACTTACGGTTCCGTGGGTGTGTGGTTAGGTTAGGGTTGTTTTTGTGTGTGTATGTGTGCGCGCGCGTGCACGCATGTTTGTATCTAATGACTTTATGGTGTGTCTTCCTGACATCAGCTTCAAATGTCTCTCTAGGGTTTTAAAAACATTCGTGGAACATTTTGAACACTCGTACAGTCTGTCTGATCTGTGTCTGATCAACATTGTATTTTTGGTACTTATATTCTTATGTTTCAATTTGTTTTCAGCTTCCTTCTGTACTACGTTATTGTCAGCAGGTATAGTAACATCTGTGGAGAGGAATTTCTCCCCCACCCCTCTTTTTTGTTTTTAATTATGACATGTAATTTGTTTCCAGTCACCTCACTGCCTGTGTGTGTCTGTATTTACACCTTTTGAATTTTTGTCCTGTAACTCGTTTCTTGTACCAAGCTTGGTTTGTGTAGAAAATGTATTTCTCCTGTTGGAATTTCAATTTGCCTGTGACCTGAATGACGTGTCTACTGATTGTCGTCGTGTTCTACGGATGGTATGGGACTTCGGATGAGGCAATCAGCTGTTTCATGATAATGCTTGCGGACTTTATCTGTACTTGTTCCAAATTGTGCCTATATGATTATTTTTATTGATTGGTCGACCTATTTCATTATTACATTTGCATTATTTCCTGTTATATTTCAGAGTTTTTGCTGTCTAACATTTTTTATACCAACTAGTCAGCAGTGTTCCATATAGTATTACTAGATATTCTCATATTGTCTCGTTTTTTTTCTTATTTTATGTTAAGAATGTTGCGACTTTTTTCCTTCTGAAACGTCCTTGCTTCCTAGTCAGCATTTTACACTTATTCTGTGTCTGTGTGGTACAGTGGTTCGCTACAGAACTCAAAAAGTCCATTTTTATGCTACTTCGAGTGTGTGAAACAAGATTTTATAGTTTCATGAAAGTTTAGATATTGTCACACACTTTAGTTGACCTCATGTTACTTATCTTCTTGGAATAAAAATAAAGCATTCAAGAAGCAGCAGAGATCAATGTTCCGGCCACGTATGTCGCGTGAGAAGTATTTGGACCATCGGCACTGTCAAACAATACATAGAAGAATGCAATTGAAGGTTTTCACAGTGAAATTGTATTGGAACACTGGAAATAGTTACATTGTATGTTATATGGGGTCTTGTTTTCGGTAAATCCTTCTCAAATGTCCGTGTTTTTAAAAAAATAAAATACAATTGAACTTGTTATTTTGTGTGTAGATTTAGACATACCGTGTAATAAGTTGTTCACTTCTCCCCAGTAAAATGTTTGTTGGGAGTAACGTTGCAGAACCTTCATAGCGACTTACTATTTTCGAGTCTGATACAGTAATATTGGGTGGTAGCATATGAAGTCACTTTGATGTAATTGAATTTGATTTATAAATGTATTTTCTTTTTCAGAATTTCTTCCTCCATTTTTTACTTCTAGGCTTGCAAACTCAGGAAAGGAAGAGGCATGAATGAATTAATTCACGGATCTCACTTAAACTGCAGTATACATTAGCGCATTTAATATCTCTTGAAGAGAATGTAATGTTTAATATTGTAGCTTCTAATGTGATTGGTTTTCATGCTACAACAGGAATCTGTTGTAGCATGAGCAAAATTAACTAATTTCAGTTTCTAAAACTGTATTTTGTGACTTGGTGGATCCATATTTATTATAGTTTGTTGCTTTTCAAAGCATTTTGTGTTTATGAACATATAACTGCTACAACCTACTGAACTTGGTGTAATGGAGATCTGTCTTGGATGTATAATTTAGCTATTTGCATATATTTTGTTATATTGTGGTCTTACCTGTAATGAGATCTTATGATTGGACTCCGTGAACAATTTTATGTTGGAATCCCAGCATATTCACTTTGTATTCTCCTGCCATTTATCTAATTTATTTATTTTTAAGAGTTATTACTGATGAGACGTTCTGTTACAGTGTGTGAGAGTGATGCCAGTAAGCTGTATCAAGCCTTGCTGGAAGCGAACATGGCAACAGAAGTTGGACTCATTGCTTTGGATGCACTTGGTCTCTACTGCATCCATTTCAAAGATAATTTGCTTGCTACCGAGGGAGATAACGTTATCATGAGGAAGGTTTTTGACATATACCTGTCATTCCTGCAAGTTGGTCAGTCTGAAACTTTGTTCCGCCACGTGTTTGCCGCGCTCCGCGCATATATCAACAATTTTTCTGTCGCTCTGTTTCAAGGTTAGTTAGTCGCTTTTCTGTATTCTTTGAATTTGGAATTTGTTACGCCTGTCTGCCTTCGCTAATGTTTGTGGACAAACATACCTGAACTTTGTATTCATGTGATAGCAGTTAATTTGTAGACTAATTAGATCTGTAGATTAGTGAGACCAAAATCTAGACTTTTATGAAGATTTCCGTATTCTCTTTCCATGAAGTCCGTGTTATTTGCAATATGGAAAAGGTTTCAAATAAGTTTGTATTACATGTAAGTGTTGTATTTTAATTAACTGTCAATACTGTAATCATTTTCCTTGTTAAGTAATTATGTTTTTTATTCTGGTTACATGTTAGTGACAAAGTACTTTGTTGCTCCAGGCAATGCTTCTCTGTGTGGAAGGCTGTGCTATGAATTGCTGCGTTGCTGTAATAGCAGGCTGTCAACTATTCGTCAGGAGTCGTGCGCTATTCTGTATTTACTAATGAGGAGCAACTTTGAGTTCACTAGTCATAAAGGACTGACGAGAGTGCATCTCCAAGTATGTTTATTCACGTGGCCTTAGTGTTTTCATTCCTTGATGCTCTTTTGACCTTTGTAGTTGCAGTCATTTATGTAATTTCCAGTCTGAATTTTCACTTGGTACTGAACATTTTTAAGTATGCATGTCTCTTCAGTTTTTTCTTACATGTTGTATTGTAAAAGTTAATGCACTTACAATAAGTATGCCTTTTTTGTATTCAGATTATAAGGAATTTAATTGTGATTTTTCTCAGTGAAGGTTTTCAAATATTGTTGGTGTCTGTTCCAGGTTATTATATCAGTGTCGCAGATGCTAGGAAATGTGATAGGACTGAATAATGCTCGATTTCAAGAATCTCTTTCTTTGATCAACAGTTACGCTTCAAGTGATAAAGTCATGAAAGGAACAGGTAATTCTTTAGTATGTTGCTGTATTTTTAAGTTCAAAGTATATTCTGCATAATAGAAATTCATCGTCAACCAAAACTGTTTCTTTTATCTGAAATTTCATGCGAGTGTAGTATATTATGGTTCTGAAACAATACATAATCATGACTAACTTTGTGACAACAGAATATTGTTTTTGTAAATGCACCTCTTTGGTTTGGAATATTTTGCCGTTGTAAACACACGTTACAGCTAAAATTTAAGAGTCTTTATTCTCGTGTGTCTTTTCTGTTAGGATTCCCTGGGGAAGTGAAAGATCTGACAAAACGTATCCGAACCGTACTGATGGCAACGGCACAGATGCGAGAGCACCATCATGACCCAGAAATGCTTGTTGACCTACAACACAGTCTTTCCAACTCTTACGCTTCCACGCCAGAGCTTCGACACACGTGGCTGGAAACAATGGCGAGGAATCACGTCCGTGATGGAAATTTCTCGGAAGCAGCATCGTGTCAGTTGCACATTGCAGCTCTCATGGCCGAGTATCTGAAGCTTAAGAATGTTCAGACATGGGGGGCTGAGGCGTTTGGTAAAATTTCTTCCAACATTCCTCAGGATGAAAGAGGTTTCAAACTTGATGCAGGTATGAAACATATTAGTTCGCTGGAATTGCTAGGTAACTCTCTGGTGGTGGAAACTGCAAGTAGCACCACAAACCCAAAGGCATGCCATTAGACTGTGTAATAATAAAACAATATACTTTACAACACTTTTTTTCATACTAAAAACTGGTGGTAACTCTTGTGTTGAAAGATTTTTGCCCTTAATGTTCAACGAACATTCCTCATGTGAAGATTGTATTTTTGCGTTATGTGAATGAGTATCAGGAATGCATTTCCATTCCAATCGTTTCTGGTAAAAGAGACATCTTTTCCAGTAAATACGACTACTGTCTGATTAACACAGATATAGTTCCCTTATTTAGGGTCTATCAGAAGCAACTGAAAGAATTTGTGGGTAACTTGTGTGCATATATAATGCAAAGCACGATAAAGTGAAGCTTCCGCCGCAACTGAAGTTTATGAAAGACCAGTCACCTGACTCGGCTTGTAACCCGAGAGTTGGCAAGCAGTCTTGACTTCTGAATGGATCGCTTGAGTGTACAACATTGTCTTTTGCATAGCGTTGTTTATTAGAAGCATGTCTGTTATGGTTGTTGTGTGGAATATGAATAAGGACTGTCAGCTTGTTTCCATACATAAATTCTGATGTATTTATAAGGATTCTGAGCAAAAGTGGCTATGGAAATTGTGAAACAGGAACTGTTGGATACTAAAAACCGGTTATCAACTGAACTTTTGATTTCTTCTTTGCTCCATTACCCATTTCGGGATTTAACGTCAATTCAGATTTATGAATAACGGGTGTGCAACGCACACTTTCAAGTATTCATGTGCTTCAGCATTTTATGTATGATACGAACTTGCAGATAGTTGAGATGTTAATAAATTTGTTCTTATAGGGGTCCAGGACATCCAGTATACAGAATATATATTGTTGGAACAATTAGAAAAATGTGCTGAATATATAGAGAAGGCCGAACGATACGAGCTGCTGGGTGAACTGTACCGATTGATCATACCAATACACGAGCAGAAACGTAATTATGAAGCTCTTGCTCAGTGTTATCAGTCCTTGGCACAAGCTTACAATAAGGTCGTGGAAGTGTCGCATACAGGAAAGAGACTCTTAGGGCGATACTACAGAGTGGCGTTCTTCGGACAGGTACGTCTAACGTTAGAAACGCTGTGTGGAACTCGTAAAAATATCGGTTAGAAATTTTGTATACATACATGAAGTCTAGGCAACACGGAGTTTCCTTCCGGGGGCTTCCCCGGTTTCTCCGTGGCATCCCAACAATTACTCCATTCACACACAGAAGAAGGCAATGGCAAACCACTTCTGATCATCTCTGCCAAGAATGTATATATGTATGAGCAGGTCCCTGACAACCTGAAGAGGTTGGAAGGATCCTGTTCATAATATATGGACCTGTCGTCAGACAGAACACTACAAACAAAACATGAATAATAAATACTGTATTTATCCAAATACTACATACTCCCAAATAAGATGCACACCCAAATTTGTCATTACACTTTAAAGAAAGAAAATGTGTTTTGAAAGAAAACACTTCTAAACACCAAAAATTATTACATGAAAGTAATGTGACCTGTCCCACACTAAAAATGTACACGAGCATGCATGATCAACAGCACAGGCCAAGACATTTTATAAGGAAAGCTTCACATGAGACATCCATACATGATTTAAGTACAAAGGCCACTCAGTTATATTGCTAACTAACTGAAAATGTGATGCAGAGTCCTTAACTGTGCATTGCCATATGATACGTGTTTATTTTGTAGGCATATTTTGAAGAGGACAGCGGAGTGGAATACGTGTACAAAGAACCCAAAGTGACATCTTTGTCAGAAATCTCTGAACGATTGTACCATTTATACTGTGACAAGTTCAGTCATGATGTTGTGAAAATCATCATGGATTCTGTCCCAGTAAGTGCCGATTTACTTTTATGTATCTTGTATCCTGTATCATCGCTTGCATACTTACAGAGTCATTGACAGAATATGGCATCAGATGCCATTCGCAGATGTTAAGTAAGGACCGGGAAAATAGCATAATGTGATACGTAAGGTACAAAATGAATCGTAAAATTTACGCGAAACCTCCTGTAATTGGGATGATGTATGTTAATATATGACTATAATAATTGTGTAATATTAATGCAAATCATGTTCACTTCCCACCTCCTTGGAGTCAGGAATGTCAGTAACAATTAAAGATGCGTCTACTGCTTACAGATTAATCCAAGTGAACTGGATGCAAAGTATGCTTACATCCAAGTTACGCACGTAACTCCTTACTTTGAGAAGCTTGAACTGGAAGAACGCCAGACGGAATTTGAACAGAGTCATGACATCAGTTGTTTCATGTTTGAAACTCCATTTACAAAGGATGGGAAAGCTCGCGGTAACCCCGAAGATCAGTGGAAGAGGAGAACTATTCTGACAAGTAATTTAGAATTTTTTTTAACCTCTTTTCAACAGTAACCACATTTATTCAACAAGAAAGATTACTCTGCCTCTTTTGCGTGAATGCACGCAAGATGTAAGTGCGTGTCTTTATTTAAATCAGGAATGCATGATGAGTTTGTCGTGCACTACTTCTGTGTATGAGGAGAGTATGCCAGTCGCGCTGAATTCTGAACAGAACTTGCTTAACTTTGCAGCTCATTACTCATTCCCGTACGTGAAGAAAAGAATCTGTGTGGTAAAGCAGCGAGTGCATGAGCTGAGTCCAATTGAAGTTGCTTTGGATGAGATGCAGATGAGAGTCACTGAGTTGGAGGAAGTTGTCTTCATGAAGCCAACTGATGCCAAGAAACTGCAGTTAAGGCTTCAGGTCGGTGCTGAAATCAACACTCACAGAAGCTGGTTTCTTGAATTCTCATACCCTATCGTCCGTACATTCTACGGTACAAGTAATAGTAATGTATGCCGAGAAAGGGTGCATGTATTTTCAGTGTTCTGCAAATTAGAATGGGCTATGCCGTGTATAGGTCTTACTCCAATTTTTTCTCTAAAAGTTTGAAATAAAATGTGTAAGTTTGTTGTATGAACTTATGTATCAAGGAATTAATGTATTTTTATATGCATATGAATGAAGAAAGTAGATCAGTCATAATAGTGACTACGCCATGTACTGAATGACTGTGGTTCGCTTGTTAAGCGCCATTGATATGAAATTTTAGGTTCTCACTGTGGTCTTCTGGGTTACGATGCTACGTGGTTACAAACATTTCTTCAGGGTGGAGGCAGTAGTTTCCTCCAAAATGTTCTTAATCAGCTACGAGACTACAAGATGTCTCATCCGAGATGACCACGGTTCATTCTTGTTATGCATCTTTGCTCTGTAGGGAGGTGTGTGCGTCCAAGTGAATGCTGGCCCGCTCACGTATGCGTCAGTGTTCCTTGACCCAAACCAGGTCTCTCAGTATCCTGAAGAAAAAGTTGAAGATCTGAAGGATGTGTTCAGGTAAATCACAATTAAATTTTTCAAGGATTAAAGAATGGAAAAAAAAAGTAATTCTGCAATGTGCCTTCTTTCTTGCCTACTATTTCTACACCCATTCACACCTACCTGATCTGACTACGCCAATCGGAGTATATCGCGCCCTTTCATATGTATACTTTGAAATTTCTTCGATATAACGTGTTTGCCCCCATAAAATTAGTTGCCATGACTTTTGAAGTAACCCTCGTAGTAACTGTACCAGACTACACAGCGCAATAACCCAGAAGACGGATATCTTCATACTCACCGCTGTGAGAACCTCAAGTCTTACAAACTGTAATTACGTTTCACGTCCGTGTTGTAACTGTTTTTTATACATTTGACCACTACTGTGACGATACCAGTGGAGACAGATTTTAATATGTACATTGACCAGTGATAAGGACATCCTTTCTCATTTCTTGTGAACTTCACTTACATCTTTTTTATCATGTAATTTTATGATTCCATGTCATCCATTTTATACTGTTTTAGAGAGTTTGTCAAGATTTGCTACACGGCCCTGCAGATAAATAGCAAACTGATTACGTCAGATCAGCATGAATACCAAGAAGTGCTACGACAAAATTTTCAGAAACTTTGTCACAGTCTGTCTTCTTTGTTTGGAGAATCGCTTTGGCCAGATGAAGAGATGGGCTGTTTCAAGAGGAACAGTCAGGCACTGTTCAGCGTGATCAGCGGTGCATCAGGTAACTCGAGCTCCGCATAGTTACATCCACGTGAGTGTTCGTTCCACGTTTGGCAAGTTTGTCGTAATGTCGATCGTTTGGATTGTGCAATTGGTTATTAGTCAGAATTTTAATGTGATAAACTCAAGGGTGTGGTACTTCCGTTGTTTTTTCTGTGCTGATTTTCACAGACTTGCATCAGGAAGTCCCAAGTTACAATGTGATGTTTATACGTGGAACCTTGACCTGTGGGAGAGTGTGAATATATAATAGTTTTTTGTATTGTCTACCAGGAGTATGGCTTTTGGTGTAAGTTTGAAAATATCTGGTATGGCCTAGCACAAGCAGTGAAACAAATACATAAAATTGTATATCAGCTTATCGGTTGACCTGGATAACTAAGCGTTTCTGTTGCAGGCAATATTACTTAGCATTTGAAATGTTCCTAAACTGTATAGACATTCCATTTGACTTTTAATATGAATTAATTATTAATTGATTCTAATTAAGGTGTCTGAGGTAACACTAAATACTGAACAGTTCAGTGTAACTAAATATTTTAGTCTTCATAGTGAATCCCATTTTACACTAGAATGGTGTTTTCTCAGGTAATAGTGACACTGACATGTTTCGCCGTTTCATGTTTTGAAAGTTTTCGCTGAATGCTCATCTGAGTGTTGTTATTCAGTAAGAAACTTGTTCCCGACAGCATTTCCTGCAGCACTGTTTCCACTGACACTTCAGGCGCAGTGGTATCAAATTTTCTATCATCCTAACCCTCCAGGCCAGTATTTAAATATCCGCTAAGCTGACACTGTGGCAGTATTTAAATGGCCTGTCAGTAAGAAATTTGTGACATATGAATTGTCAAGTTTTTCCCACTTACAGTCACTCTGCAGCAAATTGCTCCTCTCAATATCTGTTTCACGTTCCTCACTATCTGATGATTTCTCAACCATGACAATCTTTTCGTCTTCATCACTGTCTAATTCACTTACTTCTTCTTCTTCTTCTATGGCTCTCCTGTCCGTATTCGGTCCATGGCCTCCTCAATTCTCCTCTTCCATTCGGTCCTCTGTAAAGTGTTGGTGGCATTGGTGTCTGGATTACGTAACTCTGTTTTTTTTTTTTGGGGGGGGGGGGGGCTGTAGTCAATAGCATTTGTGTGTTCTCACGCCATGCCCCTTATATTTTTGCACACAGTTCTACTTACAGTTTAAAGCTGATGGCTGTTTGGTTGGCTAGAGTAGTAACGTGTGAATCTGAGCAAATAATACATAAAACTGGATTTCATATTACGTTTTAAGTTTTTGTTTTTACCGTGTATAGTCAACATTTCTCTCAGACTTTCCACTCTGTGTACTTAAAGGAACGCCTCGTCCTGCATATATTTCTACGCGTATGGAGAAGAAATGTGAGAGTTTATACCAGGGGTGGGAAAACTACTTTTTTGCAGGCCAGATATAGCCCATAAAGATGTTTATTTTAGCCTATGCTATTATTTGTGTATTATAAAGATCTCATATTAACTTTTGTTCTTCAGTGTAGAAGAATGCATTTTATAATCATAAGGGAATCGAGATGCTCTCCTATGGAAATTGAAGTTTTTGGGTCCTAGTGCACGCACTTCTGTAGTTTACGTACAACTGCATATGAAAATGCTGAACAGGTTTCAGGAGAGCATGTCAAAATCAATCAGTTATAATGCAATTTTTATGTATCTATAATTTATATTCAATCGTCATGAATAATTGGTGATTCTTTAACATTTTTTTAAGCGCTCAGCATTTCTTGTGACGATGAAGAAGACTGTCCTCTGGGTTATATACCGCTGTGTAGTATGGTAGAAGTTTACCAACATTCCAGACGTGCTTTCCCCCTTTCTCATCATAAAGTATTGCTGAATTGTTGATAAACTCCTATGAGACTGTTATGGTGCATGCCCCAGAAGGCAATCATCTTCAAAGTTGCTGCTGTGAGAACCTCAAATCTCACCTATATTTAATTTTCTTATGAACTTCTTCACCCTTGAAATCTTGGCACATATATCACATATTCTTACAATAGTTAATTACAATTATAAGCTTGTTATGTATGTATCTAAGGCTTAAGTATGCTTGAACGTTATGTTACTAATCTTCTAGTCAAAATTAAGCATTTAAAATAGCTAACAAACTTTTACTACAAGTCTGACTGATCTGGAATCGTGTAGGCTTCCGTCTTAAGCGTAGATGGCATACTGCTTCTCCTTAGCTTGCCTCCAGAATTTGAGTCACGCTTTTGCTAGGTCTTGCTAGAAGCTTTACCTTGGCCAGATTTGGAAGTGGTTGAAGTGTGAACCTGATAATTGCCGCATAGATGTATTTTCACCTCTTAGCTATGTTGCTGCCATTTAATAGCTACTCATTTAGTCCAGATGAGTCCCATTACTACAGATTTTTATGTGAAAAAAAGTTTGGCTTAGAGAATTTATGCACACTTGCACATATAGAATGTTCCAACAGCGAGTACATTTCTGCTGAGAATGTACTGTAGGTAACTTCTGAAGTCCAAAAGTCCTTTGCAGTCGAAATAAACTTTGTTGTAGAGATGTGTGGCTGCAAAGTTTGCCCCATCTGACAGACTTTAGAAGTGAAACAAATTAAACCAACTTGATACTTATTGGTGTTCCATGGATGATGTGTACTGGATCTTGCATTCATTGCCAGAGGGCATCTCTACATCTCTGGCATATACTAGTCATGCAATGTCTCCACGTGAAGAACACGGACAGATTTACGTCAGGTGAACATGCTGGCCGTGCCGTGGTTCCTCCATGTCTATCTACATACGTCAGAATCCTGGTGACTGAAGTGTGAAGGGACTCCGTCATGCTCAAGCCACGAACTGGCATGTGTGATTTATGGAACATTATACATAAATTACAGCAATTCTGTTTTGTATCAACTGCAGATACGTAGTTGATCACCCAGCAGGTCAGTTCACTCATTTGGAACAGCACAGTGGGAACTACCCATCTCTTGTGGTCACTGATCTACATTTAGAAATTTGTGCGTGTTAGATACACGCCACTCCATAACACTACACTGCTGTGCTATTTTTTCTGATGTTATTTTCTAGAAAAGCAAGTCATTGTACTCAATACAAATATGTATATCCAAACTCTTGCGCTCACTTTGTCAACTCTGACATTTATGAAGAGGTTCTTGAGAAAATTTCAAGGCACATACGGATGTGCTTACTTGACATTACGTATATTTTCAGCATTTCGTTATCATTATTCCTAATACAGTAATTTAGAACATGGTCTTCCATTATAATCAGTTTTACTTCTGCTGATGTATTATCGCACGGAAGACAAATTGATTACAAGGATCAGTATTCTCGAATTTATGGATCTCGTACAGATCTGAATTTTGTTTATTTTACCTTAATTTAATTTACATAAGCTTTTATTGGTATTAAATAGTTTGTCTTTTACTGCATGATCATTTTCAGATATATCTACTTGTTGATTCCTACAATATTCTGAAGGAAAGAAAATTAAGTTTGTAATGAATGGCTCTAACACTGCCATAGCAATAATAAATATAGGCCCAACCAGCTTATTTTTTTGTACTGGATTACTGAAGTTGCTCTTGCAGTGAAGGTTACACTTTTCAATTCCTGTTTTTATGTCATATGGTTGCATATACACAACTGTTATTCAGTAAGGGTCGCGCGAGTAGTCGTGGCACCTAAATGCACAATGTGTAAGCCGAGAGAGGGGAGTTCGGTAGTAGTGGGGGTCGCACAGCCTCAGCTGCGGTGACGCACCGATCTAAACACAGCTAGAGCTATAAACCAACTGAAGCCGACACCCCTCTAACGCGTGCTTCGGACGAGTCCATCTCGTTCGACCAAAATCAGTCCTTTGCGCATGCGCAAGCACTTCTCGCGCGACCTATACTTTGTATGATTAGTTTCACTGCTTTCTTTGAAAATATTGATGCAATATTACATTCTAAAACAGGGCTACTAACTTGATTCATAACTTACTATGTACACATGCACACAGAACCATCTAAGATAACTGCTGTCTGCAACCAGGATGACTTGCTGCAAAGTTGAAGTCGGTGTAAACATGAAATTTATGTGGGATTTGGGGTTTTCGGGTTGGTGAAAATGTGCATTGTGGTCTTCTGAGTTGTGACACCCTGAAATTGAAGGTGATATGTTCTTCTGAAATGTTGCTAACAACTTACGAGACTACTACGCAGCATCAAAACCCAGATGACACGTTAAGATTTTTTTTATTTTTTTTAAACGTATGGATGAGTTTTTAACCCACCAACTTTTCCTATCATGACAGGTACAGAATTCCTATATACTTGCTTAAATTGCACAACTGAGAGATTGCAGGACTCTGACATATCAGTTATAACCACATGCTTACACTGTATGATGTTACTGACAGAAAAAAGATAGAATGCAGTGGAATCTTTAGACCGCAGGTGTTCATATGAGCTGTAGCTCAAAGAATTGTCTTGAGGGAAGGTCAGCAACTCTAATGATAATTCACAAGAATTATTATACAGCTAAAATGTAAGCAGATGGGTTGAACTGACATAACGGTTCATAATTCTAAGAAATTGTACTTGATTAAATTAGAATTCTTGGCAAAGTTCTGTATAATTTTGTGATTTAATCTTATTGTTATTGTTTTTGTTATTTCTTGTAAGAAGTCCAGAATTTTTATGTGATTCTTGCCATTTGTTGCGTGTCTCGGAATCATCGGCATTTACAAGTAAGTGTGGAAATAATCAGTATTGGCGCAATGATATTGGTTTAACAAAGTATATTTGAGCACAAAAGACTAGTACAAAATGTCAAGTGTTTGTCCTTTTTTATGGTTTACATATTCACAGCAAGTGTGAACGTACATACCTCTTTCGTTTAGAAATTACGGTACAGTCAAAACCTTTCTGAGCTTACCTTTTATTGTGGCGAGTTATTTTGGACCTGTAACCTCATTTT